GACAGTACTTGGGACGAGTTTGAGCAGGTGTGAATGGTAGTAGATATCTATACTACCGGAATCATAGGACTTGCACTTGGATCAGGTTACCAAGAAGCTAGTAATTGATTATGTTTTATTCAAGTATGTCATTACCATTGTTTCGGTAATGACTAGTAGGATGGTTGTTATTCCGACCCTAGTGGTCATATCAAATAGAGTCCAACTACGATGAGAGGTCATCGGGACACGACCCATTGATCCGTTACAATAGATAAAGGAATGTATTTATCCTAAGAAGAAGAAGGAGTCCACAATAAGGATTTATTTTGTAACTTGAAGGTTACGATTGAATGTCCAACATAGTATGAAGAGAAGATGTATGATTGAGCATCACGGTCGTTAATTAGGATGGAAAGTTAACATATGGAATCATTATTCAAGCACTGTCTTGTTGATGATTCTAGGACATCATAATCCTAAGGGGGAGATAATTATAATGCCCGCAGATTAGGGATAGTCAATTTAACAACAATAAGCGTCAAAAATGACTTTTTGATGGATGATTATTTAGAAGGAGTAATCTTAACTAAGTTGTATTATGTGTTACAAGGATTTCGTACATATAAAGAACACCGAAATCCGAGTTATAACGAAGAAGTTATGACCTGTCGAAGTTTCACAAAAAAACCGGCACGACACAGCGCGACGTAAATAGTGAATTTATGATAGAGCGAAATTTGGATTTAGAGATCTAAATGAAATTCGTAGAATACGTTAAACCGAGAGCGTGCATAAAAAGAACTTCCAAATCTGACTTCGTATGAGGAAGTTATGATTTTCCGAAGTTTCAACTTAGCGGTATGCAGCCCGAATACTCGAATATGAGATCGAGTGATTTTTAGTCAAAACAATCTCAATGAGAATCGAAGATCTCATCAATAGTAGTCCAACGGTAAAAAGACAGGCAAAAACAGACGTCGGATGAATAAGTTATGAATTTCTAATGGAGTTTTCATGTCCCGGCCTACTAAAAATAATATAAAAATAATATATTTATAATATATTAAAAATAAATTCAAAATTAGCCAACGGAGTTTAAACGATAGTTGTAGAGCATATTCTGACCTACGCATCGATATAAAGAACGTCGAAAACGGAGTTTGTATGCGAAAGTTATGAGTTTCTGAAGTTTAGGGCGCGAACCCCAAAGCTGTGTCAGTGGCCATGATGTGGTAATAGTGCCCACGACATCGCATGTTTGATGATGCCTCCTGGAGTCTGCCAAACCGAACTTTCGATGACGCATATAGTGACGACCATACCCATGATGTGGAAAATGAGAAATTTGCCCTATAAATAGATTTGAAAGGGCAGCCAGCCAAGGTTGCTAATTCACCGTTCTCTCACCCATATTACCTCGATTTACGTGCAAAGAAGCACCCCAAAGCCCTGGTATCATCTCGAGACCCGAAGCAAGTTCCGAAGCTCGAAGATCCCGAGAAGAAAAGAGTTTCCGAGCCGAAGCTCTTCCTGCAAGAAGCCCGGTGTGTGAAGATATATTGGTTTCACAGAAAAATACTACTCTTAGAGCTCTAGTGCTGTCCGAGGATCGTCTAACCAAGTGAGTGTGTAGTTACTTTCTTCTAACACATAAATACAAAGTATTTGCTATGAAATACATGCTATGTGTTCATATATTGTTTTTTATTTGAGATGGGTGGAATGGATGTTTTATATAGGGTTTAAATGAGTTGACATGTATATATATATTTTATATCTACAAATATGTTGGGTAGAACATGGGTTGATGGAATAGTTGATGTCTGATGAAAGATCCATGTTGAATAAATCTTGGCGACTATGGAGTTAGCGCTTATTGAGTAAACCATGGCGACTATGGATTTAGCGCATGTTGAGTAAACCTTGGTGACTTTGGAGTTAGCGCTTGTTGAGTAAAGCTTGGCGACTATGGAGTTAGCGCATGTTGAGTAAACCTTAGGGACTATGGAGTTAGCGCTTATTGAGTAAACCTTGGCGACTATGGAGTTAGCGCTTGTTGAGTAAACCTTAGTGATTATGGAGTTAATGCCTGATAGCTATGGATTTAGTACCTGATAGATAAACTTTGGCAGTAATGGACTTCGTGCCAATTCCTTAGGTCAATCCTTAGGAACGAATGAATAAAGGATAGTTGATTCTTAGGGTAAAACCTTAAGAAATAAAGAAGATAATGGGGATGGGTAATTGGGTTGATTGTTTGATGATTAAATATAATAATTATATTATTATGGGTTGAAAACCCTATATGCTCACCAATCTTCCAAGCCTGACCCACTCAGTTTTCTTTGTATCACAGGTATCAATATGAAGACACATTTCACTGAGAGATTAAAGGAAATGTAAATCATTAGTGTAAATGAATGTATGTTCTGTTGATGCTTATCTGTCTGTATCGGAACATGACATCCCGAGATTTTGTTATTTAATGAAAAATACATTTCTTTAAAGAAATGCTTTGATAAATTCTTATCAAATTTTGTTTTGGGAACAAATTCCGCAACAGTTTTCTTTAAACGATTACTCTGATTTTAAAACAAAGCATAAATAAATCGGCCTTTTATGGTTGTGAAAATTAGGATGTCACATGATACGATGTGGAGGATTGAGGTCTGGGTTGAGTAATTGGCTGATGGTTTAGATGTCACTTCTATGATGAGAATTACACCAGTTTTGCTTCTCGTGTGGAGCGATAGAGATAACGAGCTTCCGGTTTCATAGTTGAAGGTAAACCCCATGGGGTAGCATATAGTTGCAATATTTTTACCAGAGTAATTTTGGTATGTTTATTGTTAAGTATTTTTTATATCGTGAGAGTCTCATCAGTGGGGACGGAAATGAATGAGGACAAGAAGATGCCATAGTTGATTAAGGCATACTTCATAACAGTGGTTCCAGGGAATCAAGAGGAGTATACCGGGGCTGTGGCCCTCGTTGCCTACGTTGTGTACCGACTGTGAGAGTGAGGTCTTTTGCTTTTATGATGATCCACACGATGGAATGTTGGTTGAGGGATCAGAGACGAAGTCTGTGATAGTGCTTTATTTCCAGATTGAGAATTATGACTAATTCGAGACGGTTGGGATATCTTCTAGTGTGTCAGTATGGGATTTCGAGATGACTAGAGGCAGTCACGTTGGGAGGATTCTGAGGATTTCATCTGAGATTCGGGATAGTTGGAGTTACTTGGTCTCTATCAAGAAGAACGTCCAGTGTTACGTTGTACATTCCAAGAGTCAAGTGTGATGTACCTGGTGAGACAATATGTGGAGTAAAGTGTTGATATTCCAATTGGTGATGGTTCGAACCCTCAATGGGGGGAGAACTCGATATTCTATTGAGAGGATCAACGATTTGTTCAAGTGCGGTTAGAGAACTGGTAAATGTAGATTTGCGGTACGGGCACATGAGACTTGGGTTATTGATGGATGAGGCAAGGTGCAGAGCGAGATGATGCATGTTGTACGTGTTCAGGAAAGGATGAGTGTATCCACAACGAGTAGCCATTGGTCACGAAACCTATTATGGTTAGGAACTCTTCGATTTTGTAGCGGTTGAGTTTGAAGCGGTTGGCTCGTTGAGGTCCAGTTTCGACTGTTGAGAATTTCTAGTTCGATGTATGGGTTGTTATATACACTTCGGGAAGGGCAGCAGTTAATTTGGCAACCAACTTTAGAGGATCTATGATTATTCTCGCATGGGTTTTCAGCGATAGTGGATGGGGTTTCGGATTTGCATCATGTGTTCTTAGTCATTGATGATTCCTCCGTGTCTCAAATTGTGAGTTGGACTATTTCGAGGTTACGAGTTGTGCGAGTGGAATATCAGTGGTTGAGGCAAGACATTATGAGATCCTGAGAGGGTGTAATTGGTATTTAAGTATGATGTCGTGAGCGGAAGATCAGTGGTAGAGTCAAGACCTTGTGAGATTTTGAGGGGGTGTACTGCGGTATCCGAGTATGATGTCGTGAGTAGAAGATCAGTGGTTGAGGCAAGATATTGTGTGGTTCTGTGATGGTGTACTGAGGTATCAGAGTATGATGCCCTAAATTTCAAATTATTTTGAGACTTGGGTGTGTGAAATGGCAAGTGGAGTACAACAAAAACGTATTTCTACATTTAAAACATCTTTATACATTCAAAAATATTTTTATTTTTTTAATTGATGTAAATATGTATTTAATTTGTATAAACTATCGTATGCATATAAATATGAAATAAATACATATTTATACATAGTGATATGTACAAATATATATATATAGTTATATATTTTATACAATATAAACAATACAAATATTATGTACAAATATATTTTTATATGAAATTAATATAAATAAATATATCATTATATGAAATGAATATATATTTATACGTACTAAATATATTTTTATATGAAATATATATATATATATATATATATATATATATATATATATATATATATATATATATTTATATTTATATTTATATTTATACGTAGTAAATACAAGTAAATACATTTTTAATATGTAAATACATTTATAAATGAATACATAGGCTTTCAAATTTATATAAATACTAAATATGTATATATATATATATATATATATATATATATATATATATATATATATATATATATATATATATATATATATATTTTTAAATATATATTTAATTTAATAAAAATATGTATATACATTTAAAAATGTATGTATAAGATATTTTTATGCATTTAAAATAATAATAATAACAATAATAATAATAATAATAATAATAATAATAATAATAGTAATTGTTTTTTGAACAACAATAGTAGTAGTAATAATAATAATAATTATTATTATTATAATTATAATAATAATAATAAGAATCAAAATAATTAAAATAACACTTAAAATGAAGGTAAATCCGAAATTTTTTGATAACTTATTGGTACATGCAAACATTTTTTAAAACTAAATGGATTTACTGGCATTATGGAACCTGTATGTTAGCCGGAAACCGGCTGAAGGCATATAAATGAACAAATTAAAAAAACATAAAATTTTACTAGATCTAAACACGTCCGAAGGTAAAACTAATATTTTGGTGATAACTTCAAAGTTTTTGTCATTTTCTCTATTTTATTTCTTAAAAAAAACGAAAACTTAGTCACGCAAACTATGGCATATTTTTTCACAGGATTAATAACATTCAAAAGGAGTATGGTTTTCTCGAAATATATAAGCATACTTTAATTGTAGTTATGTTTAAGTGAATAACTCAAATAAATAAATTGTATGTCCACTAACCCAAAAATGATAAGAGTACATTGGAGACCATTAGTACTCCACTTGTCAGGCAATGAATATATACCCTTTCTTTTCTTCTTTTAGTATTTTTTTTCTTCTTTTATCAAGGTGCATGCTTTCTGCTTTAGATAGTACTATGTGCTTGCTAGGTTAATTTGCCACAATACCAGTTTTTCAGTTCACTAGAGGGTTTCTTCTATACTCCGGCTTTCACTTTGTTCTTGCTTTTTAATTTTAATTAACAAGCTAATGATATTGTTTTCATTGTAGATTATTTATATTTCTTGGTTAATTTTCTGATTCTGAAGGGTGTGATAACAAGATGAGGATGGTGAGACAGAAAACTCAGATCAAAAGGATAGAAAACTTAGCGGCAAGACAGGTGACCTTCTCAAAGAGAAGATGTGGGCTTTTTAAGAAGGCTCAAGAGTTGTGTACTCTTTGTGATGTAGATATCGCTCTCATGGTCTTTTCGGCCACTGGAAAGCTCTTTCACTACTCACCCTCAAGGTGTCTCTCTCCCTCTCTCTATATAACTATCAATCTTTTATATATAAAGCATATGGATACCCCATTATTAGATGTTTTGGCAAATATGAAACCAGATCTATCAACTAATCTTATTAGGTTTGTAACATGTTTATCGTCCCTTTACAAGATTGTTAAATGGGGTATAATATTGATGTACTTCTACCCCATATGGTTCTTCTAAGAAACTACGGGCACGAACTATGTAAACGAATACCATAAGCTCTTTCCCAAAGAGTAGATACAATTTTGAATCTAATTAATTAAAGTATGTTGATAAAAGGACAGATTGTGATATATATGTAACTTGTAATTCATGGCATTATTATCAGTGATAACGCTAAAAAGGCTGATAGCTGGCAAAGTGTATTGTTGTCACAGGTACACAGTTGCTACATAAAAGAGATCTCAATCTTTAGGTACATTTGTGTGTGTGCATATAAGTGACGTTTGAGAGGTTTGCATGTACTTTAAATCTATAATACATGAAGTCTCTTGGACAATGCTTCAATTCTCATGTTAAGCAGAAACCAGTCATCATTTTTTAATCTTTATCAGGTATCACTCGTATAGTGTATTTAATAGGGTTGCAGCTACTAATGGAGAACAAGGGTCGAGCTAGTTCTCTCTAAGATAATTAGTTGTTTGAATGTATTATAGAGAAAGTGATTCTAAATCGACACAACCTTCACAAAAAAAATATTTGGCACCCAAATACACATTAATTTTTTTTTTTTAATCTGAGTGTGGTCTGAGCATAAGTTAATCAAAGTATATATAACTATATTTAATCACTAGGGTTAGATTTATACAACAAAACAAGTTAAACACTTCAAACAAACGATAAACGAGCTTCTATAAAACCTATGAAATAAAATTTCTGAAAACAGAAATAATAAATTAAACACAATATTTGAATGTAGTTCAGTCAAAGTAACCTTGTCAGAGAGAGAGAGAGAGAGAGAGAGAGAGAGAGAGAGAGATAGAGAGAGAGAGAGAGATGATTTTATTAACTTTCAAGAAAAATTACAATTACTCACAACGTTACACCTCATTTGAGCTCTCCAAACAAAAGAATATCTATTTTTTACAAACTACTTCAAAGGATGCGCTCTCAACCTCATAATGATTCATCTCTTAAATTTATGCACAAAGAATAATTAATAGGGGGTTTCCATATTATAGAAAAACATGAGAAACTGTAATTATGATGGGTTCAACCCATCAATAATTAGCCTATAAAGGGATGTCCTAATTATTAACTAACAACTGGATACTATGTAGCTGCTTCTGGAACCTTAAACATTGAGGGATGTGCAAGGTCACATGCCATGTACATAAGAGCAAACCAAGCAAGCCTTCGCTGGCCCATAAGGGCACACTTGGGTATAAGGTGGCACATTATGCTCCAAGGGGCACACCTTTCTTCCAAGGGTGTGTATGTTACTCTAAAGGGGAATCATGATGCATGGAACACATCTTGATGCCTCCTATACATCCTCACTCCAAAGGGGAATCATGATGCATGGAACACATCTTGATGCCTCCTATACATCCTTATCACGCCTTAACACTTTGATCACCTAGAGCACAATTTTCTCACCTAATAGAACATTTGGATACCAAGAGCACATATGTTCATCTGGAGCACCTTTGAACGCTAATAATATCTTTTGATTCCCAAGAGCACAATTTAGATGCCAAGCCCACCTATTGATCACCAAAAGCACATTTAAACCCCAAGACCAACTTTTGATCATCAATAATATTTTGGCTTACAAATAGCACCTTTTCTCTCTTGGAGAACCTTAGCTCAAGTCTTACATGCCAAACAATCTCTCACTGGAAGGTTTGAACAACTTAGTCTATTAGGCCATTCAAATCTTCATCATTGCTTATATATATATATATATATATATATATATATATATATATATATATATATATATATATATATCGACGAATGCCCATTCCTCAAAATCTTAAAAGGGAAGTTGAACTCATGTCCAACTTTAATTTTTACATTCATCTGTTGATTTCACATTACTAAGGAATTTATTCACCTTATCGTCCGTTTGGTTCAGAATCTTGAACTCTTTGGCTAACCGCATCTTAAGCTCGTTGATATTGTGTATGTGAGAACCATCAACCAATAAGCATCAACATTCAACATGAGTATGGTAAAAGAGGAACTAAATTTCTTCAGATAATAGTTGTGATCAGCCTCACGTCTCCTGAATCCTCTCCTTTTCATGACGTTATCAAACTTTAAGTACCATTCCTTAAATGTTTGCTTCATTCCATATATATTTTCCCTATTTTTAAACACCAACTATAAGAGCACACTCTGGTTGTTCTTTCCAAATGTCTCTATCTAGATTATCATCAAGGAGATTTGTTCTATTCACATATAGTTACTCTAGATGGAGATTATCAAAGCCTGGTACATTCAAGACTAAACTAATTATATTTGTCTTTGAAACTAGAGAAACGACCTCCCCTTTTTGTCAGAATCCATTAACTATCAATCCTCCTTGCAAGTATTTTCACCATCAATCTCATCCTTAACCCGAAACGTATGGCAATTCTGTAGTTCCTACAACTCTTCATCTATAGCCTTCTCCTACTAGATGGAGTTCATCCTCAAGACCTCTAGTTTTGACCCATTTTCACACATCAATAAGTAGTTGGTTGCTAGACAATACCTCACTATAGTACTATGCTTAGTAGTTCTACATATAATAGTTGGCATAATCTTTAAAAGAACTACAAATCCAGCCATAGAACTATGATCACAAGTGCTCCCATTCTTTTTAGATTTATTAGTTCTTCCACTACTTCCAGAATACATGTATATCATTTGACTAGTAATATGTCTTGTGTGATTCCAGAATCCTCCCACTAATGAAACTGAAGTAGGACTGTAAACACAAAATAAACAAAAATGAACTTCCTAGACTTTGCCAGATTACCTATCTACACAAAACTTACTTTCTTCTATCTGCCAATAACACATGGCTTAGAAGCAACTTTCACAATCTTTAGATATGTCATTCTCCCTTTGGATATAAGCTTCCTCATTCCCTCCTTACTCATATACCTAAATCTTTGGTGGCATAGAGAAGATGTCTCAACTCCTTCAACAATGCATGCTTCATCTTTAGAAACCTCCACCATATATAGAGTACCTCATTTAAGCCCTTAGCAACGACCGAATTTACTTTCTTCACTTTTCACTTCTAATCACCAAACATAATAGTATCAATGCAATGAATTCATCCTAAAAGCCAATATCAACCAAATCAACCTTAAGATGATTGAATTGAATCATTAACATGGTCAGTCATCGAGGCACTCTTCTTCATCTTCAAATCCACTAATTGTCGAATCAATAAAACCTTATTCGGTGTTGAAGGTTTTTCGTACATATTAGACATTGCATTGATCAACCCATAAGTAGTCTTCATATCGAAAATGTTGTAAGCTACATTCTTTAACAATGATTATCTCAAAACACCAAGTGCCTGCCGATCTAATAAGTGTCATTCATCTTGCTTCATCACTTCAGGTTTCTTTTTGAAAAATGATTCATGTAGTTTCTTTAGTAAACATAATCCTCAATTTGTATCTTCCAGAAATCGAAATAATGATCATTGAATTTGTCGATTTTAACTCTCGCATCTTTAGTCATATCTTTGATATCTGTTTGTTGGGAATATTCAACAAAAAAAAAAAGTTAAGAACTTCAGACAAATGATAAATGAACTTTGGTTAAACTTGCAATTTAAAACTTTTGAAAACTGAAATAAAAACACCGAACACAATAGTCAACGTGTTTCAGTTAAATTGACCTACATCCATTGGCGAACAAGAGAGAGAGAGAGAGAGAGTGAGTGAGTGAGTGAGTGAGTGAGAGAGAGAGAGATGACTATATTTACTTTTAAGAACAATTACAATCACTCATAATGTTTCACCTCATTTGAGCTCTCATAACAAAATAATCACTATTGCTTACCAACTGCTCCTAAGGATGTGCTCACAACCTCATTAATGGGCCATACACATCCATAATTAGCCTATGAAGGAGATGTTCTAATTATCGACTAATCACGGGATTCCATGCATCTAGTTTTGGAACCTACAACCTTGAAGGAAATACATGGCCACTTGTCATGCTCTTAGGAGCACGCCAAGCCGGTCATGGTGCAGCCAACTTTGAGGACATACTTGGTTGCAAGGTGGCACATCATGCTCTAAGGAATGTAACTTGCTTACAAGGGTGCACATAATGCTCTAAGGGGGTGCATCGTGTTTCCAAAAGGGAACATCATGATGCTTGGAGCACATCTTGATGCATCGAACGCGTTATACACATGCCCAGACACTTTGCTAACCAAGAGTGCATTTTGATTATCTAGAGCACACTTTGACCACCTAGAGCACACATTGCTCACCAAGAGTACATTTGGAAGCCAAGAGCATCTTTTCATCACTAAGAGTGTCTTTGCTTATCAAGAGCACATTTTCTTAGTAAGAGCATATTTGAACCTGTCGCAAGAGCACCTTTTGATCACCAAGAGCATATTTTCTCAACTGGAGCATATTTGCTCTCCAAGAGCACCTTTGGACACCTAGAACACATTTTGATCATCAAGAGCATATTTGCTCACCAAGAGTACCTTTGCTCAAGTCTTCACACCCCAACAAATAGTAAAGTAAATTCTACAAATTTCCTTTTCATTAGATGATGGTATGAATTTGCATATTGCTATTCCATTTATTGATTAAGAAAGAAAACGATTAGATAAATCAAGTACCTTTAATTTGCACTATGTAATCGGTGATACATTTTTATAAACCCAACAAGTTCGGGTGTTTTTTTTTTTTTTTTTTTTTTTTTTTTTTTTTTTTGTTAATTACACAATCATGGACTTAGAGTGGAGACAGTAGAGATGGCAAAAAAAACTCGTACCCAACGGGTACCTGAAACCCTAACCCAAGTTGATCGGGTAAATCCCCGAGTTGACCGGGGATGGGGACGGGGATGGGTATTACCCGAATATAAAAAGCGGGGATGAGGATGGGGATGGTTTTACCTATCGGGTACCCATACCCGTACCCGAAACCGGCCCCGATGGGTACCCGATATATATATATATATATATATATATATATATATATATATATATATATATATATATATATATATATATATAGTATTATTTATGTTTTTATTTTTAATAATGCATAAGCAAATGTTTATTACACAAAATAAGGTTTTTTAACAATCAAACGTATGGTTTTGGGAAGACTTTTTATGTCTTTTTTTGCAAAGAATGATTTAATTTGTAACCTTGAATGTTATTGTTCGTGTTTGAAGACATGTAGTGATTATAGTGTTATATATTAGTTCTGTTAGTTTTTGTTTTGTTGGTTAATATATAATTATGAATAATTTTTCATAAAAATTCAAAACTTTGTAACAGGAAAAAATCCCCCATTAGGATCCCCGATACCCATTGGGGATGGGGATGGGGATAGATTTTTAATCCCCGATGGGGATGGGGTCGGGTATGGGGATGGGGATGGGGATGGGGATTCGGGTATGGGGATGGGGAACACGAAACCCGGTATAACCGTACCCATTATCATCCCTAGGAGACACTTACACTGTTGGAAACATGTTTTATCTTCAACGTGCTTTTATACAATCTTAGCTAAAATTTATGGATCATCCTCTATAGAATATTATTTTTGTTTCATCAAATTAAAATTTTGCATGCGTAAAGTCAAATTACTGTCAGATTTTGCAAATATATAGTCTAATTAGTGATATATCTTCATATATATATATATAACTCTTTTTTTGTTTGGTTAAAAGCATGAATCAAGTGTTAGAAAAGCGTAGACTACTGCAAACCCGGAATGTTGGAGAACTGAGACACCCATCTCAGGAGATGCAGGTATGTATTTCTGCAGTAGTCATTTTAAAAGTTATTTTCAAAGTCATGATACATGCAGAAAAATAGAATACAACTAAAAGATCAATAGTTAAGTTTTATTTTTCTTTCACCAAATGGGTCCCCGATTTGTTTACTGTGACTTGTGATTAGTTTCCTAATCACATTATTTTTCCCTTAAATGCTCTTAAAACAATCACAATTATAAGGAGTGGATGGATGTATAGTGAGTCCATATTGAAAACCTACAATGGTTCATTTTCTTTTTTAGATCCATGAATCTTATATTAAAACTTAATGGCTTTAAGACATGAGAAATTAAATATATATCCTCCTAACTTTTTTTATCTACTTATTTTTCTACCATGTGAAATTGTGACAACTAACAAGTGTCATATTTTAATAAAATTAATTATATTTTATGATACTTATCATCATTTCAAATAGATAGGAAGGTAATTAGGAAAAAAAAATAAAAGGATATTTAATTTCACTTAAGACATATAGAGACAATATGAAACATCCAATCACAACTTCTTATCACTAATAAGTAACAACTTAACAGATTACCTCGCAATTAAGAACTAATATCCAACTGAGATCAATAAAATTAACAATGACCGGAAATAGATACATAACTAAAGCACTCCCCTAACTTGATAAAATTTAATTGGATTAATTAACGCTGCAAAACGTTGGAAGTTCTTAGCTACTTCTCTCGCCTTGTTTAACATCTTGCTACTTTTTTATATAATTGCAAATTGAAAGAGAAGAAGATAAAAAAATAATAAACAAATATTGAATTAATCCTCATAAAACTATTAGCCGACCTAAGTGACATATTTAAATTTGTAATTTTATCTTTTATCTCTTCATTAATGCCCGTAGCAGTACCCTTGTTTCCGGCATCTCACTTCTTTTCTTTCATACAATCATTATTCCTTGATCACCATGGCCACCACAAAATCAATCACCGATGCAAGCAAGACTCCATGGCATTCATGGTGCCCAAGATCTATCTCCTTCCACTCGACAAAAATGATGGCCATTATGCATCGCAGTTTGATCTTTTTTAAATACAGGCATGCGAGTCTAATGTACCATTGTCAAACAATGGATATATAACACAATAAGTATATAGGTGAGTCCGCTCAAGAACTCGGGAAGTATCCTGTTGAGATATTTGATCAAGACAATCAAGTCACTAGAGCCGTATGCCTGGAAGAACAATTTATTACCACCCGTTTTGAAGCCTTCTCGATTATTACTGAATATGGTATTCGTTTCAAAACTCTTGTTGATCAACTTTCCAATGTCGGTAACCCCATCTTTGGAAAAAATATGGTATTAGAATTGGTTTTCTGCCTTCGCAAAGAAGATTACGACACCACTACTATGTTTATCCAACAAATCTAGGTCTCAAGCAAGTCTTGATATCGACTCCACACCTTGGTGTGAATAATCCAGCTCCGACATCCATGGACGTTGCCTAAAAACGGTGAATGGGGTTAAAACCTTCAAACGTTCTTGGCATCTTAGAATAAAACTTAATTGAGAAATTTTTCTCACAATCTGATGTTACTAGAAATGCAATGTGATTAACTATGATATCCTGATTAATGATATGATGCTTTTCGTTCAATATGATGAAGGCTTATGGAGGAATTACAGAGATGAGATTCTAATTACTCATATCCAACCTTCAAGTCCGTAGAGATCTTTCATTCGCATTTTTTGCTTTGTTGGTATTAAAAATGAGATTTAACTTACTAGCCTACTAGGCATTTAGTTCCCACGTTTATAGAAAGAAAGAGTAGAACTCATATAAGTTTAATTACTGACACATATAATATACAAACTTTATCAATTAAACTCTATATTTCATTAAACTTTATACAATTTAATGAATTAACACATTATTTATTATTTGTTAATTATTATTTTTATTAGAAAATTGCATCAAATTAAAAATTAAAAACTACAACTAAAATTAATATTAATTAAAAATTGAAAATTACAATTTTAAAATAAAAAATAAATTTAATATATAGAGTGGACTCAACTCCCCCATCCTATTAAATCCTAGTCAATTTTCCAAGATTTTAGGTTTAATGACATTCAACTCTCAATTAAGCCCCTATTAAACTCTGATCGGACTCTAAAACCCCTAAAGATCAGAATAAATTATTAACAACACTTTACCTATATATCCGTCAATCTCAATCCAAATATTCATAATACAAGTCATACTGACTATGAAAGATATATATATATATATATATATATATATATATATATATATATATATATATATATATATATATATATATATATATATATATATATATATATATATATATATATATATATATAGGAGTATGATCAAATGAGAACACCAAAAAGGTTGATAACGCGAGAACAAAGTATATTCATTTGCTATTCCATATATTCGTTTGAGAGAAACGATAAATTTTTACTCATTTAATTTCAATTGAAGAGAAAAAAACATATTCATGGTAATTGTGCGTAAAAATTTATCATTTCTCCACAAATGAATACATGACATCACAAATGAATATACTTGTTCTTGCATTCTCAACCTTTTAGGTGTTCTCATTTGATCATTTCTGTACACACACACACGTATATATATATATATATATATATATATATATATATATATATATATATATATATATATATCATGGTTATACAAATCGGGATCAATCGGTGATTAATCGTGGATTAATCGCTTAGCATTCTCCAACCGTCGAGGATTAAGGCATTAATCAGAAATTTAGGATTAATCGGGTTTGGCGGGATTAATCGGTCAACAAAAGTCAAAAAAAGTCGAAAAAAGTCAAAAACAAAGTCAAAAAAAGTGAAAAAAAAGGTCAAAATTTTTTTAAAAATTCAAAAAACCAACTTCCTTTTTATATTTCAAAATTTTTAAATTTTCAAAATTTCAAATATTATACCAAAATGTTAATATTTTCGTATTTTCAAATTTTAAAATTACAATTTTTATTCTTTTCTAATTTTGAAGTACTTGTTTTTCCTAAGATATATTAATATTTAATTAATTTTAATATTTTATTAATAATCTATGGTCCCCGATTAATCCTCGATTAATCCCCGTCAAGACTGATTAATCCCTTAACACCAGTCGACCGTCGAGCTACTGTCAAACGATTTTTACAACCTTGATATATATATATATATATATATGTTCAGGTTCATTTGAGACCAAATATAATTTTGTGAGACCAAATCGAAAAATAATTTTAAAATGCAAAATAAATGGAAAAATCCAAAAATTCTTTTTTTAAATATTATTTTCGGAACTTGAGTTAACTAAAAAAAATAAAAAAGAAAGAGAAAAAAAATCCCGTTTTTTTTTTTAAAAATACGTGAAATATTCTATTAGAATATTACAGTGACATATTCTAAAAAATAATTTTAAAATGCAAAATAAATGGAAAAATCTAAACATTCTTTTTTTAAATATTATTTTCGGAACTTGAGTTAACTAAAAAAAATAAAAAATAAATCCTTTTTGTTTTTGAAAAATACGTGAAATATTCTAATAGAATATTACACTTTACATATTCTAAAAAATAATTTTAAAATGCAAAATAAATGGAAAAATATATAAGTTCTTTTTTTAAATATTATTTTCGGAACTTGAATTTACTATAAAAATATAAAAAATAAAAAAAATCTTGTTTTTTTAAAAAAATACGTGAAATATTCTAATAGAATATTACACTATACATATTCTAAAAAATAATTTTAGAATGCAAAATAAATGGAAAAATCAAAAAAAAATTAATATTATTTTCAGAACTTGAATTAATTAAAAAAAAATTAAAAAAAAAATGCGTCTCACGGTCTCACAAAATATCAAGGTTCTAAAAAGCTTGTCATGGCTCCGTCATGGCGCGCCACGATTCCAATGCTTGCACCTACCGCCAAGCTTTGCCAAAACGTCACCTTAACTCATATATGTGTATAAAAATAAATAATAGTTGAAAATACATAAAAAAATATTAATTATCTAGAAAATCGCCGCCTTAAGTCACGCCTTACAAACGTCATTACTCGCCAAGGCTCAGAAAAACTTGAGGCTTGACATTACCACCAAGTCACGCCTTACGTTATTTAGAACCTTGGAAAATATAGGTGATCTCAAATAAACTTAACCCTATATATATATATATATATATATATATATATATATATATATATATATATATATATATATATATATATATATATATATATATATATATATATATATATATATATATATATATATATATATATATATATATATATATATATATATATATATGAGTAAATTACATGAATGGTCATTATAGTTTGGCGTAATTTGCACGCTTGATCCCTAACTTATTTTTTTTAGCTCGGAAAGTCTCTACTTTTTGAACAAAAGAGACATAAAAAATCAAACATTGACAATAATTTTAGGACAGATAGAGTATTAATTTCTCACTCATTTATACATGTCCCGTTTTTTTGGCCTTTTGTCATATTATGTTCCAAAATATATGATAATTATATTTCTTTGAGATAGAAATGTACATTTTTTTTTTTAAATTTAAGACCAAGAAAGATTTTCAATTCCCTTAAGATAAAATTGCAGAAATGGTCTCTATTGGTATGTATTTTTTGGGGTTTTAGTCCAAGCCACGACTTTTTTAGATTGGTGGTCCTATTAAGCTAGTTTCGTTGCATTTTTTGCCCCCCAAAAAACTAAAAAGACAAAAATGCCCTTCTCATACATTTTTTTTATGATTTTTGCTATTTAATTTAAAGTTTTATCAATAAAAATTATGGGGCCCACCTCTCTCTCTATCTCTTACAATTTTATTTCTTCCTTTTCTTCTTCGTTTTTATGTTTAAAACACCATCGGAGGTGGATGAATTTCCGATGACCATCAAGAACAATAACTCCACCAGCGATCCAAAGGGCTGCCATCGCCACCACCAACACCTCCATCGCCACCAACTGTCACCTCTGTTAATGCTTCCTTCTTCTCCGATCAACAGAGGATCGAAGACCTCCATCTTTTGTTATGTTTTTCTGCTGATCACAACAAAAACGGAATGAAGGCTCTGGGGATAGCCTTCTATCGGCACCCCTCCTCGTGACTGTGTAACTACCATAATTTGATATATGTTTACCAATTTCACAAACAAAGAAGAAAGAGACATCGAATCTCCATCTCTGTCCCATCTTCTCGTTCAAAATCAAATAACAAATAGAGGATCATTGAGAATTGCAATCGAAAACTCATACACACATACACACACCTATTAATCGATCCAACTAAGATAAAGAAAGGATATCCATGGTTCGATATTACACGTAAAATCAATTCCAGATTCGAAACTAATTTCATAGTGCATTAGGGCTTACCGAGATTAGATCTTCAGAGATCGACGTGATTAAATCTTAACATATTCGAAATCGTTTTTTCCCCTAATATGTCTTCAACTTCTCAATCAATTTCATATGTTGTTCTTGAAGAGCGAACCCAGAACATTGAATGTTCATGTGTGTGTCAGTGTGTGTTAAAGTGCAAACCTGTGAATTGATTTCCATAAACGAAAAATAGATCACTGGTGACATCCGTTAACAACGAACATCACCATCACCTGCTAGTAAACCTAATAGCATCGTTGTCGTCACTTTTTTCTTCCTCCCTGTCGATAACCAAACCCTAAATCTTGATATTTTAGGTGGGTATCATTGCAGTAGTTTGGTCTAAGGTTTCAATGGAGGAGATGGTCACTTTCCCGACAATGGAATGATTATCGAGGTTCAACGGGTAAGGGAGGGGAAATAGCATGAAAAAGAATTCAAGAATTGGGTGAGAGTTGGGGAAAATGGTTTATGGGCGAAAAAGGTGGGGTCACATGAGAGAGAGAGAGAGAGAGAGAGAGAGAACCCACTTTTATATTTAATAATAATATTATTATTAAAAAGTGAAACAAAAATGAAAAATAAATTCATTAAGGGTATAATAGTCTTTTTAGTTTGGACAGGAACCAAAATTGCAAGCAAAGTAGCTCAAAACGACCACCAACCCAAAAAAATCGAGGCTTGAACTAAAACCCCAAAAAAAATACATACCAAAAGGACTATTTTTGCAATTTTGTCTTCCCTTAAAAGTGATCAATCGAATTTCTTTATCATCAATTCCCTAAACTTAGAGAGAAGATCCATTCATAAACCTATGGATATCATGTCATTGAGAAGAAAACTACTAACATAATACTTTCATATATATATATATATATATATATATATATATATATATATATATTATATATATATATATATATATATATATATATATATATATATATAGTTAGCTCCCTGGGGTTTCTTTCAAACATAATCCATATCAACAATATTTTATCAAATATTATGTGCGGTTGCATAAACCAATTTTTAGATCCCTATTTAAGAACACAAACCTAGCTAATGTCTAATTTAAGACCACCAAATATTTTTTTAACTGTATGTGTCAAAAATGTCATAACTTTTTCAACAAAACTCCGAAAGATTTGCAGTTTTTTCATTGGAATCTACATATAAACAACTTTTTTCACAGACATATATATAAGACATGATTTTTTTGACATAGATTGTTCCAAACCTCCTGTTGAAGTTCGTTAATTTTTTTCAGACCACCAAAACATATTTTTTTTGTACACCAGATAGCATATGGCAAAAATGTTATACTCCATAAAACTTCAAAAGACTTGTGTGTTTTCATTGAAATCTACATATCCAAATCTTTCGAGAAATATATAATACTTGATTTTAATTCTGTATTATTTTACACATTCTGTTAAAGTTAGTCCAAAAATATTTTTCAGACTACCAAACATATTTTTGTGCACGGTACAACCTATGAAAAAAAACGTAACAACACTTCCTTTACAAAACTTCTAAAATGTTTTTTTCCCACATCTAGAGTTGTCAATCATAAATACACATGATTTTGTGACTTCTAGATCATTCCATACTTGTCGTTGAAGTTTGTGCAAAAAAACACACAAAAATTGGAGAGGAAAAGTAAATTTCTTAAAATCGACTATTCTAAACAAAACCTAAACCATTTATGGGATCTAAAACACTAAAATACTATATGAGTATCTTGAAAACATTAAATATTTCGATACATGCATTGGAAAATTCAAGCACTTAGTTTGATTCAGTTGTTGTTAATCCATTGAATAACATGTGGAAAAAACATCATAACAACCTCTATAGAATTCCAAAAGTGTTTTGGAGTTTTTTTTTTTTTTTTTCTTTTTCTTTTTGGTTTGCATTGAAAAGTTACATAACCATAGATTTCAAAGCATATAATATACACGATTTTGTGATTTATAGATCGTTCCTGACTTCCTGAAGTTGGTAAAAAACATATAATTTGGAAAGAAAAAGAAACTTTATTAAAATTATTGATTTTAAACAAAACCTCAGTTATTTATAAGACTTAAAATATTAAAACAATTCATAAATAAATTAAAAACATCAAATACTTCAATAACACATAAAAGATCTCCAGAGGCTTGGAAAACCATTTTTTTTTTTTTTTGACTTTTTTCTATCCGGAAAATCTATGTCAAAAACATCACAACTTCCTCTATAAAACACTAAAAGCCTCACACATCCCGAGCATTTTAAGAATATAAGATACCCGATTTTTAGACTTGTGGTTCATCTTGACTTCTTGTTGAAGTTGGTCATAAAACAACGATTTAAGATTTCTTTATCAACACCTCCTGTGTTAGGAATATCTCCATATCTCAACATGACCTTTTTCGTACTCTATGTAGCCTTCATCTTCTTCATTTCCCTTTAGTAACAATAAACAACAAAAACAAAAATTCTAGTTAATCTAAAGAACATGAACCAAGATAAATACAATAAAGTCTCAACAAAAAGGCAATGAAGCCTCATTTATATCCATGAAAATCGTCGGTTACTTTGGAACTTAATAACCAAAGAACAAAAGTTTTCATTAAAAGACAAATTAAATACAACCCTGAACTACAACCAAATGAAGAGTCTCTTACAATTGATAGCTACATCAGAAAACTAAGGTCCACCAGAAACTATTATTCCCAAATAACGTTCAACTACATATCCCAAGTGTTCGTGAATCATTCTCATCGCAACAATTCAACAAAAGGCATCTTAAATTGTATAAGATATAAACACTAACTAAAAAAATTACTTCAATTAGACTATAAATAAAGAAAACATAAGAAATTTTCTAAAATTTAAAAGCTAATTATTTAGACTATATGCAAATATTGGAATCACATCAATAAAAGAAGAAGAAACGGTATGTTCTAGCAATTTGATAATAATTAATTAAACATATCGAAATTTTTAAAAATAAAATTATTAAAATTTCTAATAGAACATATAGTAGATTTTAAATCCAAATGTTCAAATACAAACTCATATTAGCATAGAAATACACTTTTGGTGTTAAAAGTATACACATTGGACTAAAAATCATAAAAATACATATAAAAATACTATAGATCACAAATCCTTTTTTTTTTTTTACTTTACATTTTTAAAAATTGCAGCGTTTTTATAAGTTCGTTAAAAAAAAATTTAAAAATCTATTTTTTATTTTTTATTATTTATTTATTTAATTATTTATTTATTGTTTTTCTTTCAAAATTTATTTCACCGAAATTATGTAAAAAGTTGTGATTTTTAAGAATATAAAATAAAATAAAAAGTTTGTGATCTATAAGTATTTTTTATGCATTTTTATGATTGTAGGGTTTTTAGGATTTTTTTGTTTTCCAGAGAAACTAAGCTAATATATATATATATATATATATATATATATATATATATATATATATATATATATGTGTGTGTGTGTTTAGGTTCTATGGAAAACAAAAAAATCTAAAAAACCCTAAAATCATAAATATATATATATATATATATATATATATATATATATATATATATATATATATATATATATATATAAATTTAAATCAATACACATATTGACATGCCATATTTAGAAGAAATATGCATATGTGTGATTTTCTATTTAGATATGAGCTTGGAGCAGGACAAATGTAAAATATATATAAAAGGAATTGCACTTTAATTAGAAACATACTTGGATGAGAAAACTCTTGCATTTTTGTTCATATTTAATATTATACTTAGACAATGAATGTTCCTCCAATAGATTGCTAGTAGAAATTTTGGTATCTTGAGCAAAGAACTTGCAGAAAAATCCACCGCATTAAGGTACCAATTGTTGTTTCCTTCGTATATTTTTCTTCCATTAACATTGTGTGTACAATATTAAATTGATTTTTGTTAATAATCAAGAGAATTAGCATGTTGAATAATGCAGGCAAATGAAAGGGGAAGATCTCAAGGGACTTAACCTCAAGGAGCTAGACAAATTAGAAGCTATGATTGAATCTGGGTTGGTTAAAGTAGTAAAAACAAAGGTACAATGATTCAACTGGATAGTTCTATTATTATGTTTTGTTTACTAAATGACACAAAAAATAGTCTTTTTACACACAAATTCGATTTTGATACCGTGTTATTTTTTGTGTCAATTTTAATACTGTGTTTTTCAATTTGTTACATTCTGACCACTTGACCGGTTAACTAGGTTACATGCTGACGTGGCATGATGACATGTTAGTTTTGATGATGTGGCATGCGGACATTATATGCTGACGTGTCAAAATTGATTTTTTTTCTCACAAAAAACACTAAGTTTTCATTTTTTTCGATTTTGACACTAAGTTTAATTTTTTCTTTCAACTTTGACATTATGTTTTTTTGTTCCAAATCGAAAATCATTTTTTCAATTTTGTTCAATGTTGACAATTTTCTATTTCAAACCGTATAAATATTTTTTTAATACATTTAAAACGTAAAAATAAAATTTTTTATATTTAAAAACCATAGTTTTGTATAAATACATTTTTTTAAACTCAAACCATATCTTTATATTATATAAAAATTGTATTTTATATTAAATATATAACTTTAAAAGTTTGGAGGTTTGGAGGCGTGTAGTCGATCAAAACTCAGATATCAAGTTTGCAACCTATCAAATTTTTACATCTTATTAGAAGCTTATGGTTAGTTTGATTCTCATGATATAACTAATGCTTTGAATGTAAGAAAAAAACACATTGTATTTAAATAAAAATGTGGTTTTTAAACGAAAAATATATGTTTATACGGTTTAAAATGTAATAAAAAAAATATATATTTATACGGTTTCAAATGGAAAATAGACAAAATTGAACAAAATTTGATAAATAATGTTCGATTGGAACAAAAAAAAAACATAATGTCAAAATTAAAATAAAAAATTAAACTTCGTGTCAAAATCGAAAAAAAAAAATGAAAACTTAGTGTTTTTTGTGGAAAAAAAATCAATTTTAACACGTCAGCATGCCACGTCATCAAAACTGACACGTCATCATGCCACGTCAGTATGTAACCTGGTTAACCGGTAAAGTAGTAAGAATTGTAATAAATTTGAAAACACAGTGTCAAAATTGACACAAAAAAAAAATACAGTGTCAAAATTGAATTTCTGTGTAAAAAGAGTGTTTTTTGTATCATTTACCCATTTATTTTTCTTGACTTTCAGGAACAAAAAATGTTGAAAGAGATCAGCACACTGAAGGAGAAGGTCATATAGCGAAACATATGTGTTTTTCTATTCCTGCGATTCATATAGAAATATCTAAATATATATTTTAGGCGATTGAAGCTTACATTAGGGAAATTAGGGAATCTAACCTATATAAATGATCTTCTTAAAGAAAATAACTATTTTTTTTAGTTTTTAAAAAATAACTATTTTTCTTAAATGCCTTATTCTGGACTACTATTCACACTTAGGGCTAATTTTCATTCTTTTTTCAAAGAATGCTCCATTCTAAAAATGCTCAATTCCGAGTTTGATTTTCAAAATTTAAATTTCTAGAATTTGTTTTTGGTTTTTTCCGATTTTTTTTTAAATATCCCCACTTATGTCTGAAATGTCAATTTCTAAAAGTATACTATCACCGTTTTTAATTAAGAAGTCTGATTTTATGTACTAATATAGTATATAGTTCATATTTACTATATTTGTTTAACTTTTTGTTAAATTCAAGTAAAAAACAAATTTTTTTCTGAAAACTTTGGAATTGTTCTTCGGATTTCAGACTTGTTTCTAAAATTTCAGAGTTTTTTTTTTCGAAATCCAAAATTTTAGTCTCGAATGTTGATCCAGAATTCCCATTTTGTACCAAGTGGCTGTTTTTGCTTAAAAGAAAAACGAGTTATTTTGTTCAAATAAACATTAAAAGGTGGTAAGATTACTCAATTTCCCTTAAGTTATGCTCAAAACTTAAGTAAATAATGGAAAAGTATGCAACCTTATAAACTAAAAAGAAATATCATTGAATTTGTAAATATGTCAAGCAAAGTTATTCTAGCTGAATTACTTCAACAAAATACACCATTTAGGAAGCTCAACTGATGGAAGAGAATGTACATTTGAAACAACAGTTCGCTGTAAGGGCCTTTAAAATTCCCTAACTATAGTTGTCTTTTTTTAAAGATCGGATGCATAATTACTAAATGTTGATTCTTGTGTTTTAGATGATGCACTTATGTATTGAGAAATCAGGTATTCATGAGCAATGTGGCCATCATCCTTCTTGGGAGTTAACGATTAGCAACCTCAAGTCTAGAGATCAACCTCAAAACTACAACAACTCGGATACCCGCCTCAAACTTGGGTAATCCAATCAAGTAAGAAAATCTTTTATTTTACAATAAAATTTCATAGGAAATACTCCACGAAGAATCATTGTTATATATTTCTAAAATCATTTCAGGTTCCCTTTTTCTAATTGAATTTAAATGGTGAATTAGAAGAAGAGCAAAGTAGCGTGATTATGTAACACAAGTCATTGGTCGACTGATGTAGGTTCTTAAATAATCTCTCACGTACATCCATGATTACAGGTTGTGGATTTTGTTGTAGCCAAAGAACATTCCAATATGTTAAACGACTAATATTTTCTTTGGTTTTGGAGCTAAGTTTGAAGCATTGTATATCTATCTATAGACATATTTCACTATTATAAAAGTGCGTTATGGTGTCGGTTTTTGAAAACTGGGTCTTCTCAATTTTCATATTTCTCATCACTAAAGGTCATAACGTAATGTTCATGATTGTTTCCATGACAATTTACTAAATATGAGTTACCATTACACATCATATTTGTGCGACGGCCTAGAAGGTGGGAAAATGTCCTCTTTACTAATGAGTATAATTATTTTATATGTGTCTTTACCTTGTATCGATTATTAAACGAGACTTATGGTATTGAAATTTCATTTTAAGTGATTAAATCTTATAATGAAGTTTCTAACATCAAAAAACCCGTGACAAGTTGTGCAACAACCAAAAGCGGTGGCCAAATGTCATCAACTATAATTGATTTTCATATGTACCTTAATGGGTTAAGTGAAATCCAAATATCTACGTCCAGTAAATCTATTTTAATTACCGAAGTCCAATAAGTCAATAAATTGTTTTTGATAAAGTATTCGTCTTAGCTTTATACATATTTTAAGAGGTATTTCTCATTTACCATCCAAAAAGTTATAAGGAGTTTTTGAAAAGCTAGAAATCCTAATAACTTATTGAAATCTCATTTTTGAAGGGTTAATTAAATGTTATTTTAGAATTCATTTTCATATTGATAAGCACGTTTTTTGACTTATTGACTTTTCAAAAAGCCATAAGTCAATAAGTTGCTTTTAAATGGAATATCAAACATCGTAGCTTGAAGTCAAATGATAAATTAATCATTACAACTTTAAGAATTCATTTCCCAATGGTTGCTTTAAGTGATCATTTTTAACTTATGATTTGTTAACTGTTAAATAAGTATATAAACAAAATTGAAAAATTAAAACACGTGCATTTTTACTACAATAAGATAATTAGCAGCATTAAGTTACACATTAACATTCAAATAAAAAAAAAGTATTGTGTTTACATTTATAGTTACCATAAAATGTTATTTACATAACTAACGAAGTTTATTTATTTATTTACAAATTTACAAAAACCAATGTACTCCCAATACCACCTATAAACAGGACAAAACTTCAATACATGATCATCACCAGTAAATTCATCAGTGACCTCTACGATAATATAGTCTTCACATTTTAAAGTAATGACTTGATCTTAAGAAGATTTATGTCAAAGAAATATATTTTGCAAGAGTTCCCTAACTTTTGTTGAACAATCAACAAAACCAGGACCATATATCGTCAATTCATCAAAATCACACGTTTAAACCTATAATTACACATGAGAAATAAATAACATTTTTAGTCCTATATATATATATATATATATATATATATATATAACATGTTCCTTTTGTCCACCAGAACATACAAACATATAACAACAAATAGCTAAAAGAGTAAAGCTTTAATACACATAGTAAACTAAATTAAAGTGTGTTACCTAATGAAGACCTTGTAGAAATTAATAAAACATATTAAATATCCACAAATATTTGTTCTGGTCATGAAGGTTATATGTCTAAAGGCATTCACAATATAAAGTCCAATGAATTGTCATACGCTCTTGGTGTAACGAACACTACGACTTTAATTTAGATTGCTAAGGCTAAAAGCACTTTATCGTAAATTCACTTTTAACGTCACACAGCGTTGTGCTGATTCTGTCGTGAAACTTCGACATGTCATAACTTCTTCGTTATAACTCGGATTTCGGTGTTCTTTTTATCTCCAAAATCCTTGTCACAACCACTACAACTTTCTTCATAGATATCAGTTTTATCTAATATTTTTTTTAATGCTTATTTTCATTCTTAATTTATTATATTATCATAATGAAGTATAAAGCAAATAATTTCATATAATTTACATAATACGTAAACAATTCATCTTTATTACTTCAAAACGAGTTACAAGGGTTGACCTAGACTGTTACATCATCATTAATGCTTAGCCCATGAACACGGGAGTTACAATTCTCTTCCCCTTGATCGGAATGAACAAATCACCAATCCAACAACCCACTTTCCGAAAAATCAATGCGCTCCAAACATTCTTAATAGATATAACACAAGTTCTTTCGACAATCCCAACAGTTGATCAACCTATGCGAAAAAATCATCACTTATACTCATGCATGATAGGTAAACACCGCTTTTACCCTACTAGTGGTAGCAATTGGATCAAAGTGAGAACCAATAATCAGCTAACTTCCAACCTAAGTGACACAAGCAACCATGTACTCTAAATTTATAGTTCCAAAAGGGAACAACACGAATTTTCTTAGGTTCCCGACCTCACTCTACCATTAACTATTGAAGAACTCCCACTAATGTCAAATAGCTAATTCATGAATACAGTTACATGCTACAAAGGATATATAATCCTTCCACTAAAAGACTCATCCTTACAACGGTTAGAATCAGATGAGAGTTGTATAGTAGGGCTAAATCAATTACTTTGAGATTATTTAACCTATATAGCATGTGACTAAACAAATTCACTTAATAGCCAACTCACATCATCAAGAGTCCCACAAAGCACAAAGCAAGCAAAATTCATGCACAAACCAATCAAAGGACATCTTGAGCTTACTTGCTACCAAAATAGAGTCCAATTATAAAATAGCATCCAATTCCTCCTAGGCTACAAGACATCACATATTAGGACAATCTATTTATCATCAGAAATGCATTTTAGCATGCGATTCTAAAAGCTCGACCAACAAGTATATAGAGGCATCTCTCCTACAATTTTATCATGTAATCCTGAGCAGATCCTTATCCCTAATCTTACATGCAGTTCTCATAATATATAGCATAACATCATGTATGGGTATTCGGGAAATCTGTTACTTGAGCTCGACAAATTGCACGCATCACACCCATTTTCTTTATAAAAATCTTTTAGAAAACTCATTTTAGTTCAAAAAGATTATCATTTCCTCAGTTTGACTCCAGATACACCCAAGAGTATTCCCGAGTCCCTCAAACCAAGGTTCTGATACCAACATGCAATATCCCAAAACTTCAAGGTAAATTTTTCATTCTTAAAAATACTTAAACCATACAAATAAGTAGTTCGAAAACCTATCAAGTGACTATATCATTTAAACATCAAAGTAAAAAGCCATAAATTGCCAATGCGGAAAATATTGGGGGATGTTATTTAGTCACGCCATGCCCTTCCCTTTGCAACTGGAAGTACATGAAACCATAAACATATAACCATAAGAACAAATCTCATTGAGTTCCCCAAAATATCATATACCATACATACATACATCGGACCCCGCTCGGGGTCGGGCCCCGACTAGCATAGATCTACTAGTCATATATGGTGGGCCCTGCTCGGTTTACATACAAACACATGCAAGAGTCACACAAACAACTCGCATCCTATAAAGTAACAATAGGTTAGCATTGGTGCCTTCGACCATCAATATATTGTAAGGAGACTGACCTGATGCACGAATCAGCTAAACCACAGCTCAAAGCTTCACGGATGTTGCTACAGTACTCTTATCATATCATATAAGATCCAACTTTAGTCTACACACAAAAACCAACCATTTTGACCAAAAGTCAGCTAATGTTAAAAGTCAATGGTCAAAGACAACGATCGAGGTTGAATTCAGTCAATAGGTCATTTCGTAGCCCTCCTTGGCCAGGTCATGGCCCTCCTTAGATCAAACAAACGGGAAATTCCCAGTCACCACGTCGTGGTGACCTATGTCCACATCATGAGCACTAGGTTTCCAGCATCTTAATGGATTAAGATGCTTTCTTCAAATCCAAGAGCTCTAAAGCTCAGATCCGGTCCATTCTATGGTCTAAATGGATAAAGTTTCCAACTTTAACCATTAAGACACCCAAAGAGATTAAGATCTCCAACCCTAGGTCCAAAGAAATCCATATACCACAATCTCTTAACCAATAAGAACTTATTCTAAAAAAGTCATTAACCCAACCACTCTAGAAGGGTTTATAATGCTAGATCCATCATAAAATTAAAAGCTTTATAGACACATATGCCCAAACATGTATATAATCCATTTTAGGTCAAAATGAGCTAGAAAGACCAAATCTTAAGAAAATGACAAGAACTTTAACCAAAGGCTAGATCTATAGCATTTTATGTTCTTGGGACTCATGAGAGTTATAAAGTTGGTAACTGTATGAGTACAATCCTTCCAAACATGCCCAATCAAGAAGAACATGGGACAATATCCTAGATCTAGTCACTTCAAGCAATAAAGATTAAGCCTTTGATACTTACAAAGGTCCAGAAGCTATGTAATATGTTGATGATGTTGGTTCTTTCCAAGATCCATCAATGAAACACCTTATTATCCTTTTTCTCTTCTTCTCCAAGCCAACAATGCTCCAAAAATGCCACACCTCACCAAGGGAATGAGAGCTAGGGTATCTCTATGGTATAACGGTGTTGGAGGCTAGGAATGAACCCTCGAAATGAGTTAGAGGAGTTTAAATGCAAAGGAAACCCTAGAAAATCATGAGCTTAGGCCAGAACAGCTACCACACAGTGGCCTTCTTAGCCACGTCATGGTGGTCCAAATAAAACAAAGGATTCATGTAATCATCGCTACGTCGTGGCATAGAGTTTCCTCCAAAACTTCATCTTTGGTCCTTAATAAAAGTAAGCTTAACCAATCTGGAACACGAGTGTTACAAAAAAGCTACAATTTTCAAGGTCCATTAGGTTAGGGATAGCCTTACGAAAAGAAGTAGTTGAAGACTTAATGGATTAATGTCTCAAACCATTAGGATTTTACTTCAGACCGTGGTCACATTATGACGTGGAGAGTGTCACGACATGACAATTCAGGATCTCGTGATTATCTAGTCCTGTTGTGTGCACGACGTGACGAACGAGGGTTCACGTCATGGTGCGTTCTCATGATTTGACCAAGGGTTGATCACGAAATGAGGCTTATCTATAGTATTGTTGGATATTGACTTTGATTTTGACCGTTGACTTTTAA